CTCTCCGAAGTAACATGCTTACGTGGATGGCACCACCGACCTGTTTGTAGTGGATTTCATAGTAAAGGGGCCAGGCCCTCCACGTAACCATGTGAATCTTCGGGAGTGTAATTTATCTGAACATCTCCTTGGTGGTGCACTTCTTCTCATAGATGCCAATGGCCATGGTGGCGCTGTTTCCGGTGAAGAGCTGGCCGCCTGTGGTAAGCACCAGCAGCAGGTTGATTGGGAACAAGGCCTGGGTCGTGTTGGAGGCACGTTGGGCTTGAGGCGCCGAATCTGTTACTGAAGACCGAAGCTGGAGAGGTGAAGCCGAGCCTCCTATAATGAATAAATATACACATATGTCATGTGCACATGTTTTTTCAAGAATGGTTATGATTTTACTCACTCACTCACTCTGGTTTCTTCTGCTCCAAGAGCCAGGTCATGTCACCCCAGGACCCTTTGTGATTCTTACAAAATACAAATATCTGCTGAACTAACCAAGGCTCTTCGCCTACCCCGTTTGGACGTGTGTCTTATTCATGTCCTGCCGTTCAATGTGCATTTCGGGCTCCACGACTGCCTTGCACCAACTTGATCCACTAGGCCCAGGCTTGCATCCACCAGGATTTTCTGCATACCCTTGAGATTCTTTTCTCACATATACTGTAGGTCACACGAATGCTACAATACAACAACGTTTGCATCAAGAACTATAGTCATAGTAAACATTATGGTAACCAAAACAATTATATAAAGAAAAGAAAGAACAGGAGTGTCTGAGTGTCTGCTGATAACTGCTGATGTACCGCTTTTGCTGTTGCCAAAAGAAGGATTCCACCTCTCGCCGAGCTGCCGCAAAGACGGCCTTCTGGGTAATGAACTGCGAGGCCATGTTGCCGCCAATCACCAGGCTCAGAAGCCCTGCCATGCCCACATAGGCACCACCTGCAGCGGATCGAACCCACCAAAACCCCCCCACGGTCGTCCCGGTCGTCCCGTCGCTGGGGCGGCCGGTCGTCCGGTCCGGGGGGACCACAAACGGTCCGTGATGGTCGTCGATCTGTGGTGAGCCTCTGGGAAAGGTCCTTCGTTGTTTGAACGTCATGCATCCAAAAGGCATCAAACCCAAAGGCCCCCAAGGGCCCCCCCAAGGGCCCAGGCACTTGCCTAGAAGGTGATTGGGCTCTGTTGGATTGATCAACCCAAACTGGTCAAAGCCAATCCAACCAAGACCATGAGTTCCATCCATTTGGGGGCGCATCGTTGGATGCTCAAGCTTTCAACCTATCCAAATAATTACCTCAAAGCACACGACTTCCTCCAGTGACTACTGTAAACCATCAAAGAAACACAGATCCTGGACTTTCGGGATGCTCCAAAGCTGGTGACGACCATACCGAGCATGAGCAAGTTTGGGGAACTCTGAGTTCTCCATGGAAAATGGGGGAAAACCAACAGAAAGACCGAGCAACCCCACTCCGCCCAGGTTCAGTTCTCCATGTCGGAGTCCGAAGATGTCCCCGCGACGAGGAACGAACCACTCCGCTTCATGGCTTCACCGAAACGGAGTGGTTCTTGGGGACCTGGGGAATTCTGGGGACCTGGGGACCTGCTTGGCTTGGGAACCTGGGGGACCCCTCTTTCAGGTCTTGGGAACAACAGACGAAGGAGTCCGGACCTTTCCCGGCAAGGTGGCGATGGCGGAGGGGAAACAAAACGGTCTCGATTCATCTCGATTCCTCCGAGCTGCCCATGAAGGAAGCGTGGAAGGTCTTCGTCCAATGTTGGTCCCTCAAATACCTCAAGCCACAATCAGCAGGGACAAATTTCACTCTAAAGAGAAGTTTCCTGTCGTGACGACTTGTACGTCTGTCAGCACTCTCCCACTTGAGAAGACTCAGCCAGGAGTTCCACAGTCCACCCTTCGATTCAAAAAATTTCAAGGGCCGAGTAGAAACAAACACGTGGTGGCTGCAATTATATTGTCAAGTTGTTGCTTGGCACAAGCTCATCCACACACTGGACCAAAATAAGCTCTAGAAAGGAATAGAACGGAAGTCAGACCCTGTCTGAAATGGATGAACTATAGATGTACAGTACTGGAACCCACTTCAACGACTGTGATTGGCGTTCCATCATCTACAACCCTTCAAACAGAGCTGCTCCGACTTGTCCACGAGCTCTTGATAGGTCTCCTGCAGATGTCTTCAGGCAAATGAGCAGAGAAGCCGTCAGACACCAAATCGTAATCAGACCAGGTCCTGCCCTTCATTTTTCACAGGTAGATCCTTTCGCTTCGACTATGTGACATGATGTCAAAAAGAGTAAGTGTATGTGTATAATATATATATATAATACATACATTTTTCTATATGATATGTGGACAATATTTATATATACATATATCAAGATATATGTATATTTGTATATAGCTTTAAAAAAGAATTGTCAGCCAGGCCACCCAACAGCAATCTCTGTGCCATCCCGCTGCTGATTGGCAGATGGATGCATCCAATCAGAAAGTGAGAAAATGTTCCCCCCCAAACGTTTGGCTGACAATTCCAAAGTGGTTGCTGGCCAAAACTAGTGGCTAGCGAGCCAAGAATTCTGAGGGTATAGTCATAGTGATATCTCATAATTCTCATCATTCTGATCGGCAAAACCCGTCCAGCTGTTGGGAAGGCACCCACCTCCAACACCCAGATGACTACGCTTGGCTCCTGTGGTGATCCCACCACCGCAGTGGAGGGCCCGCCACCCGCGCGGCGCAGCGTCACCTGCTGGCGGCGCTCGCGCCAGCGGACACCGCCGGCGACCACGAACATGGCTGCCATGGAGGTCAAGGCGTGGTTCACCTCAGGCCACAGAGAGGCTGGAGCAGTCTCTCTCAAGAATCTTGCTGGGATTTGATTTGGAATATTTGGAATGATCTACTTTGCAAACCAGCTTGACGCGTTGGGATCACCTTGGCATTGCTGGTCAGGTTCTAGCTGCTGGACCATCTTCGATTCGTTTGGGAGATGTTGGTGCAATCAGATCTGCGATCTGCAGCGATGGGGGATCAGCACCAGCACTGCAGCACCAGCACCAGCACCTGCAGCATCAACTCTCCTCATAATGGAGTCCTAGAGTGCTAGGGCCGCTGGGGAGCGCTCGGAGCAAAATATGGCGTTCGTTTTGGAGGAAACCTTGCATGTAACATGAAGGACCATGAAGGACCCCGTGCATCAATATAAGGACCCCATGTAACATGGAACGTCAGGGGATGAGTCAGTGACCCACCATGTTCCCACGACGTGCGTCACGAGGCCGCGAACGATCGACGTGCCATTCACCAGGCCGCCATGAATGACGAGAGAATGGCTTCAAAAAAACAAAAAAGGATGTTCAATCGGATTTGTTTATTGAAGCCATTCAATAAAAACAAAAGGGATAAAGACTTAAAACGGATAAAAACAAAACGGATAAACAATCGGATCAACATGACTTTATTGCTCATCTATTTTTCCCCAACACCTGCATGTTAGTCCTCCAAGACTGACCCTGCGGAGTGGGGTACCAAAGAGATGCCAGGGGAACCAAAGAAGGGATGAAATCCAATGACACATACGCCTGAGTCAAAACCTGGAGCTGATAACCCTAGTAGGTTGACCTTTGTGGTCATCTATTCTTTTCGAATCTTTGGTGGTCAACCAGGGTGTCCCTGTGCCATGACCCACTGCCCAGTACCTCTTCACATACCAACCGTTTATGGCATGGCCCGTTTGTTTCAGCCATTCGCCATACGGCCATCGCTCAACAACCTGAATGCCATCAAACCCCGGTCCAAAAGAATCAAGTTTAGAACCTCTGTGTGTGTTTTCCGCAGTGAACGCTTGAAAAAAACGTATAAAAATGTAATGGTTTGCGTCATTATAGTCATTTCAAGTTCCTGTATCTAACTCTGAAAGCTCTCGCAATGGTTCTTCCATCCTTCATCCAGTCGAGATGCCGATTGGTCGCCCTCATAGCCACCCACGAAGGTTGCCTTGGTGGTCGCGCCTCCTTCGACACGGTGCCCGCGGTCACGGACCTGGCTCGCGGGCAAAGGGAGAAGCAGTGCGGGGCACGGTGAGCTGCTCTTTTGCTGAGGCTGAAAACTGGATGTGGTGATCCGGTCTCCAAATGACCCTAGCTTTGGAAAACAAAGAAACATGTCTATGTGCATATCTAGAGTAGATGTATCATGATGATTCATGATGTATCCTTTGTGATGTGGGAATCTCTTCAGTCTAAGGGTCCAGGTTGATCTTGGGGGTTAAATCATATGGTTCACATGGTTCATGCAGGATTCACCAAAGCTGGACCAGCAGGTAGCGCAGACTTCATGATGGCGTCTGGAATCCTTGTTACTGGGTAGTCCCAGGAAATTCCAACGTTTTTAATGTCATTACACTAAAAGGCCTCAAACAGCAAGCCCAAAGCTGAAAGCTTCGGGGCTTAAATCATGCGTTTTTCTTGAACATTTGTTTGCCTACCCGACCAGCCTCTGATGTTCCAACCAACCCACCACCCGGTCCCATGGCACTCGCGATCTGATCAAAAAGCGGCGCGCGCCTCCAGCTGGGCGACACTTGGTGCGACAAAGGCCAAAGACATGGCGGGCGACTCGTGAGAGGCGTCGACGGGGGTGACTTTCTTCGTGTCGGGGCGCGTTCTGGGAGCCAAAACGGGCCGCAGTTCGTCCGACAGGCGTCACCGTGTCCGGTTTTTTCGAGGTCCGTCTCACAGACCACCCCCTGTAGAGGAAACTGGCAGTGTCCATGTTGATTTGTTCAAGGGTATGTCTCCTGGATAGATGATGATAGATGCTCACGTGACATACCTATGACAAAGCTGTTAACAATCATTAGGATCAATCCGCTACATGCTGTTTGGCTCATTGTGGTGTTCTCGAATATGAGAACATCCTGGTCTCTTCATGTTCTCATCCCCTCCCACCGCCCACTGCCGCTGGCCATGCCAACCGGGTCCTAAAAGCACCACGTTCTTCGCTCCATCCAGCAGCTCCAGCCAACCAGCCACGTTCGGGGCTTCCTTCGCACGGGGCCACCTGGACGGAGCACGTGAAACAGAGATCCAACGACGTCCACGTAACGAAGCCCCAAGAGGTCCATGGGATCCTTTTGAGGAGATATTTGGAACCATTCCCACGTCTATCATATAAATATTTTACTTTTAGATCATCTCGTCTGGCTTCGCAGGAAGTGGTCTCAATAGAGATTCACCCTGGAGACGCGTTTTTCGGTGGCAGGTGGGGGTGCGTTCGCACGGGCAGGTCCATGAGATCGTGTCAATCCAAGACCAGGCTGACCAGACTCCGCGGGGAGAACCAATAGCTGCACAGACTCTGCAGGACCGTTTCACGAGAAACCGACGTGTAAAATGAGGAAAAGAGTGTGCAAAAAACTGGCGGCACACTAAGTCCATCACGTAAGAATTGTTACACATGATACACACATAAATATATATATATAATATTATATCTTATATAGTTTATATTATATATTATATGTTATACATTAAATATTGTCTATTTTATGTTTTATGTTATATATATAATAGTATGTATATTACATTATATTATATTTAGATATATTATATATCGTATATATATATTGTATAATTACATATATATATATATTAGCTCTGAAGTTCGGCATATAAGGGCTATGAAATCAACGACGACCGGTAACTCCATGCAACTCCCAAGCGACCGATGCGGATCCGCGGTGATCTGCACATCCGGCCGAGGCGTCTGCAGACGTCCTCCAGCAGCTGGTGTCTGCTCGAGAGCTACCTTTTTATAGCTGCGAATCAAAAAAGGACCTTTCAATGCAAGAATTCTGGAAGCTGAAGAAGATCATCCCCTGCCAAACTCTCTCTTCTTTTTGCCCCAAGCCAACAACCTGTCCCGTCCTTCCGCCAAATGCCGGTCGAACTGCGGATGGGACACGGCGATGGACAAGACCCAGCGCTCGTCCCACACGCCCGGCGGAGCCTCGTACCTCGGAGGCGTAGGCGTTTGAGGTTCGGCGAGGAGGGTTCAGCGAATCGAATGGACTGGTTCAGATGTGTCGTCTTCATCGGACTGGAAAAGCCCCGGAGAGTCTTCTCACGTTCCCATGGAATCACTTCGCATGGAGAAACTGTGACTGGAAGGATGTGTTTCAAGACTTTTGTAGGAGATGGTAATGGTTAAAGAGCTTCCAGTCCTGGTCTCGGAAGCTCAGCTGAATTGTTTTCATGCCAGAGAATTCTAGATCCCACAAAACGCACAGAAGAAGGACAGAATGACACAATACCCAGCACTGTGTGGTTATCCACCTTGCTGGTATGGTCTGCGGCCACCAAACACTCCAGCATTAAAAAGAACTGAATGAACATCACGAACAGAATGGTCTCTTGTTTGGCCTTTATGGCACCCCCTTAGCCTTGCAACAGCAGCCCTTTCCTGCCCATGCCCTGCGGCCCCCCACCCTCCCCGGTCACGTGGCGAAGTGGTCCATCGAGGCATCGAAGCCCAGCACATGGCCGTCGCCGCCGAAGGCGCGGCGCTCCTGGGTTCACCGGCGGCAGCGGTGCAAAGCGGTCGGTGCGAAGAGAAGGAACGCTCTGAGCTGATAGGACCCCTCACCATGCGACTGGGAACTCCATGTTTGAGGGCAGAATGACTGGGAACCCACACAAATGGACCCTTTGGCACCTTGTATCCGCTTCGTGGATCGTAATTACACCTCGCGACCTGGTATCCGCCACCCCCTCAACCTCCGAATTGGACCCCTCTTGGGCTCTTGGACCCTTCTTAGCTTTGGACTTCCAAGTAACGCCGTTCACCTCCAGAGCGCTGTACCGCCCGTGCGTCAGCGGCATCAGCAGCGCCACGCGGGCGTTGCTGCCGTCGTTGTGGGGTGCGAAGAACTTCTCGCCCGGCGGCAAGCCGAAGAGAGCCACCTCAGTCGAAGAATCCACAGTCACGGTGTGTCCGGTCAAATGCTGAAGTAGGGAGAACGTCTAAGCAGAAAGAACCAAAGGAGCCAAAAGAAAAAAACACAGTGAGTGGAAGAAGTTATGACCATTTGGGGGGTGGAGATTGGTTTGGTGGGGAGTGTTAGTTCAAATTATTTGGAATTGGATGAATTATCTTGGTTAGGAATGATAAAGGTCAGCTCTCTGGTTAGTAATTAGTCAGTGGGTTCAATCATCCCAAGTAAAGGTTGAAAATAGAGATATCATGAAATATCTGAAACCACCACCTAGACAACCAAACCAACACCCCGACGATTCACAGATTCACCCCGTGCCTCTTCTTGAAGATACGCCGCTAGGGTACTCGATTTGGATGCAGGCAAGTGCTGCCTGCGGCTCCCAAGCCACATGGAAGCCAATCGGTGAACTCTCGTGCCACTGCCAGCTGGGGAACTATATGCAGACAAAAAGAACACCCGCTTCTTAGCTCCAAACCACCAGCCTACTCCGTCGGAAGGATCTTCGAAGCCACTTCGGCAAGTCCAAAACCTCCGTCCTCACCTCAAGACCCGGCAAAGCGTTGGCATCTGCTCGCACCGCTCCTGGCAGAAGCAACCCTAGGTGGGGATGGGCACAAACCACCAAGCCTTGTTAAGATACGCTGGCTTGGTGCGGCTCATGTGGTCATTGAACCAGTACAAGGACCCCTTCAACCAAAGCGAGTCAAGTGTCTGTGACTTGGCCTTGCCGTTGGCAGGAATCGCCTCAAAGGCCTTCTCCAAGGGTTCGATGCACCGACCCAATTGGATGATTCCAACCACGGTTTTTTCACTCTAGGCCAATGACTTGCCACCGCAGGAAACCTGCATGCACCGACCCAATCTCGCTACCATGTCCTCTTCTCCAGCCAAAATCCTCGGCATCCAAACCCAACCCCTTCCCCCACCAAATAGAACTCCTCAACCTCCCCCACAACACCTCCGACCTCCACCCAACCCACTGCTCCACGACCGGGCACTCCCAGGCCTTCACCCAGCCCTCGAGTGCCGACCAAACCTCCCAGCACCACCAGCCCTGCCGGCCGCTGTACTCCTGGGGCCGAAACGGAGGGAAGAGGAAGTCGGACAACGACGGAAAAGAAGTGCCCAGAGGAGCGAGGTCCGGTCTGCGACGGGGCAGACAAACAAACTTTCAAAAAAGGACGTAACAAAATTCACAGCTGTTTCAGAAAAAAAGAAAAGAACGTGTTTTTTCTAGGGACTGAGGCAGATGGATTTGGGGAGCGCAACTCCACGGACCCATAAAGTCTTGAATTCAAAACCCACCGATCGCAGAACGAGCATGGTCTTAACGCTTCAAAAAAACAGCCAGATGTTGAGTGGGCGGGAAAATTTTCGGGCTTGGGACTTTGGGCGCACTGCCATCTGCCCTTTGGTGTAGCCCTGCCCTTTCTGGCACTCGCCCCATCGCCCTTTCGGGGGGTGCGGGGGACGTCGTCTCGGTCGCTCGAGCCGTCGCCGTACTCCGGCGAAGACGGACCGCGCCGCGCTCGCCGCAAGCCGCGGGCGGCGCCTCTTCGGCAGGAGTGAGGCGTCCGGAGCGGAGGTGGTACGATCTCAAGAACTCCTCGGCGGCTCGGCGCGAGAAAGCTCGCATCGTCACGCGCGGTGGAAAACGGACACGCGGCGGCGGAAAACGCCAGAAACATGGGGGGGGCCAAAGGTTCCATCCCTGTGGAGAAGTGGAGTGAGGTGAAGATGGGAAAACTCAGATACAAAAAGTGAACATGAAGTCAAACTGTGCAGAAGGCAGAAGACCCCTAAAAGGTCAAGAAACCTCTTTACATTCTTAGAGAAACAGATCGAGTCACTAGGGGCTACAGCCACACATGGCTTTAAGGGAGTTCTGGCATGTCTCATCGTCCACTCACTGTGAGGGTGCAACTGAACCATCCTAATCATTAGAATATAACAGGATATACACATTGACTGACACACTGTGTCACAATGGCATCATGTCAAGGGTTAGATGCACTTTAGGGTAGGATGAAGTGTTCTTGGACACAAAAAGTAGTCTTGGATAATTACCAGAAGTCGCTTGAACCAGGACCTGGTAATACAGCATTTCCACGCGTCACTGCCAGGATGTCTGCATCAGAATTTCCCCAAGCCATTGGTTCATTCCCGTATAGTCACGGGTGTGACGGAATTTCCCCCCCAACCGTAGCAACACTCCGCTCCTCCTTGATCTCCATGAAGTGTTTCCGCACCGCGCCCAGAAGCTCGGGATAGTCCTGCTGGGCGTCCAGACCGACGCAGGTCCTTGAGACCATGGGTGCCTCTGGTCGACCCCTTGAGACCCTAGCCTTCTTGGGGTTTTAAACGGGTTTCTTGTTAGAGGTTCTTTGTAAATCTGCTCAGAAAACAGTTTGGAAGTTTCAGGAAAGTGAACTCGATCCTGGCACCAAAGTTTCCAGACGGTTCACCCTGAAATGCCGATTTTGATGGCAATACTCGCTTTCAAACTCATGTTGTAAATGTGGCAGTGCACTGATGGTAACAACACCTTAAGCCAGTTTCTGGAAGTTTTAAAGCGATATTAGGTATATGTCAATACGCGCGTAAAGTCCCTCAAGTTTATGGTGTTGCAAGCGCTGTTGTGAAAATGCCTTGAGATGATCCCTACCGCCTTTGAATATAAATTGAGGAGGATGCACCGTCAGGTTTTTGAAAACATCGAATAATAACAAATCCCGAATGGCTATGTTATTTCTTGGGTCGTCGTTGGATTCCAATCATTTCAAGAACTGGCCAGGCCATGGTTTTTTCTTTACTTGCTTTATCTTTCTTTATGGCACTGCAAAGGCATCCTTTTTGTGGGACTGAAACAGTGTCGTGGCACTGAAGAAGTGTCATTATGTATATGTTTCTTTTTTTTCTGCTGGTGTTGTTATTTTTGGGCTATACTTCGGTCAGTGCATCAGGAAAAAAATGGGAAAATAGAAAGGAATCAAAAGGAAAGTAGCGGCGTAATTGAATCTGACAAAGTCACATGTGAAAATGCAACGCCAAAAAAAGCAGTCATGGAACAAACCACCTCATTCTGCCGCTCGGTTCAGGAGATTCAGCGAATCGGAACAAAAAAATCACAAAAACACACATGTTTGTACATGATTAGACTAAAGAATGCTAAGAAACAAATGCTCTGGTAGGCTGCCTTCCTGGTAGGAGGATTCGATCAGTCCAAAACGGTCTCTTTGGCAAATGCTCTTTGGCCATCCACAGATGTGTCGACACTGTGAAAATCGGCACAACGCACGACAAACATGCGCACGCATGCCGACGTGTCCTCCTCGCCAAACCACACCTGTGCCTTGAAGGATGGATAGAAAAGCATGGGCGTCTGCTCAAAGCGTTGCCACGCAAAAAGCTCCTGCAACGCATACGCAGAATGCACCCGCAGAATGGTTCAAGAGACCGAAACATGCCAGTCGGTTGTAATCGGTAGCTTAAGAGAACTGGTCGTAACTGAGTCCTTCACTTTTCCTGAGCCCCCCCAAGATGGAGCCCCTTCTCATCCCTTTATCATATTTCATTCAAGGCATTCATCTTCTATTCAGCCGCCCATCCACAGCACCCCACCCTGACCTCTGACCGCCCCTAGCCGCGCGCACATCCGCCTTCGTCGCTTCGTAGACTTGCAAGGCGACGGATCGGTCGATCTGCTTCGCCAGCGTCAAGAGCTCCGAGATCACGTGACGCTTGTGGCAGCTGCTGTCCAGCAAGCACTGAGAGCTCAAACAGGGCCTCCGGAGTGTTCGCGGTAGGCGCGCGCAGTGTTCCGGTCTGGAGTGGGGTGCTGTGCCGAGGAGTGGGGGGGGGTGCTGGGTGGAAAATGGGGCGTGCTCGGAACACACAAAAGGTGGGGGGGAGAATGCGTTGGTCATCAAAGTGAGGCAATTCATTGCTTCCAATCATATGCGGCCAAATGCTTCACCAGACTATCGGAATCGATGTAAATATGTACCCCCAATGCCCTCTGCTGGTTCCACATCCATCAAACAGCCACTTCACTGGACGCCTCTCGCTCCCAAGCTCCATGCTTTCCGGGTCTGGAACACCTCGGTGCGTCAGAGACTCCGTCGTCCACCTCGGGGGGTGAGGGGTCCCAGTCTGCTGTATTCTGTTCACTGGAAGCGACTGGAAGCTCGATCTGGACCTGGACCTAGGGCCAGTGTCCAGCATGGTGTATGGGTCACCGAAAGAACAACTTCTGCAGAACTCCAAGAAAAAGCGGCCCCTGAGTTCACCCTCCAAAGGATGTCTGTTTGCTTGAGTGGCTGTGGCCTGGCTGTGGCCGGCCATATGGTGGTATCTGTTGATACCAAATACCAGTGATTCCCATCAGCTAGCCAGTTGGCTTTTTGAGTCCTCCAGGTAGTAAACGCAATAAATACAGTGTGGTCACCCCAAGCCTCCTCTTGGGGCCGTGCAAGAGTTCAAGCGCCTGCTGACCTTCTCCACCTGTTAGAGAGTTTTTTCATATCCCCAAATCTCCTTCCTGGCTGCTCACCGTTCAACTTCCTCTGGGCACCCCATGCGCCCGTAGGAATCATGAAAGCAGGAGTTCCATAGTGTGCACACGAATTCTCATCGGTGGCAGAAGGATTGGGATGATCATCCAACAAACACTCTGGCGATGTTTTCTGCCCCAAACGCCCGAATGAGCCGAGCTGCTTCTCCAGCACTCAGGCCGCAGCATGGACTTGCTCAACATCTGCCCCCGGTGGGCCAAATGTCGCCAGCGCAGGAAGCGCGCCTGGTGCAGGGTCAAAAGGGAAGACAGAAAGGGATGAAGCGATTGGTTTCTGTTGAAACCATGTTTTAACAATTTGATGGTTGTGCCCAGGCACTGGATGCCAAGAGAGAAGTGTGTGAAGAGTAGTCCCATTGAGCCTTTATTGAAGATGGGGGTGAAGAAAGGCTCGCACTGGCGGATCCTGGGCAGGTGCCGTCTGCTCCCAGTCTTCCTTGGAAACATCTTTGCATCTGTCGGTAGAAATAAGTGCCCCATCTCCCATCACCACAGCAAGGGTGGGAAATGATGTTCAGCAGCCTGATGTCCAAAAAAGACCTTCGCTCTGTGGGGGCCCGGGACTACGTCGATGGGCTGGACCCCCTGTCTCGGTGAACGGAGTGATGCTTGGAGCCCAGGCTCCGCCCATGCGGGCTTTGGCGGGGATTCTCAGGACTAACGGGCCAAAGAGATATGAGAAAACCAAACAAGATAGCATCTGCCCAAGATGTTTTGAAACAGAACAGAACAATTAGATCCGACAGAGAACCGGACAGGCAAAAGAGACATACAAAGAAAAGAACAAGACAAAAAAGTGAGAGCTGCACGGGAAAAAACAAAAAAGCCTCAAAAGACAAAGAAACGCCTCTCTGTGCATGCATCGCTCGGCCTGATTCTTGCTGCCTTCCGCGTTGGGTGGCAATGCTTGGGTGTTCTGCGCCATGATCTCCCTGAGCAACTCATGAGGTCGAAGGTCCGACGGGAAGCGGCTTCCGGGAAGCGGCACGAGGTCAAATTGATCCTCTCCCCCCTTCCGGTGAAGAAAAGCATCGGCAGAGGGTGTTTGGGGAGAGATCCTTTTGGGATATTTGTCCTAAAGACAGAACACAGACGTCACAGACGTCTGGGTTCTGCTTTCAAGTCTTCCACCTTTTCGAAGATGTCCACAGAAGATCGGCCAATGGTTCTGGCGCTGGAAAGAACCCATACTGGAAGGTTTGTCCAAGTGTCTTCGTTTGGCTGTATTGGAGGCTTCCATCTTAGGTGGCGCAGGAGAAGGACTCCGCAACAGGAAAGCAAAGCAAGGAAGAAAACACAGCTACGGAACGATGAAAGGACTGGCGCGCCTGTCTAGCGTGGCCCCCCCAGCTAAACAACATGCCATACCAGCCCAGCTAGACTCGATGGTGTTTTAAGGCCCACCCAACCGGAACCCTGGGTCACCCACTCATTGAAGCAGGTTTCGGTCCCCGTTTTTCACGGTTTCTTCGGCCATGCAAGCGGCAAGAAGGCTTCCCAGACAGCAGCACAGCTCGAGGGGCTGGGCGTTTGAGGACAAACACCTCAAACGGTCGGTGTGTGGTCGGAAGAAACGCCACCAGGATCGGACAGGGTGGGCTGAGTGTAGAACCTGGAAGAGTACTCCATAGTGGTTCGAAGACATTTTGGGGGGGTGAAAGAATGTCTGATAAGGCTGGGCTTAAATGTGTAGCCGTCCTACAGAACGGTTGGAGTGTCCCAACAAAATCGTCTCTGTGGCCATTCAGATGGTCACAGCTCAAAAGACGGCCTTGATAGCAGCACAAGTGAATCCACGTTGGACCCAGGTTCACTCAAAAATCCATGGGAATAGGACTTCTCTGGTCTGTCCTGGAGGTCCTATTCTGGTGCCAAAAACACTTCTTGTGCATTCCGCCCTCCGGCAGAAGTTCTCCGCAACACCCCCTGGAACTTGTGGTGGACGCACACCTGAAACGATTCCACAAGTATTTGGACACCTGTCCTGTCCTTCAACACCTGTGAGACCCTCAACACCCTCATTTGAGAACCATGGTACACTCGAAATGGCCCATTTGAGAAACCATCCCTACACCATGGAACCATAGTACATCTTGGGGTCCTGAACACACTCAAAATCTCTCAAAACGATCGATCGAATTCCATCGATGGCGCCTCCCCGGCCGTCCTGACCCATCCACCCACACGCTGCCACACTCTCATTTGCCTCGCCTGCCACGATGCTTTGGCATTGGCCAGTGCACTCTCCCGCCACAGATGTGACCCACAAGAGAAGCGCCCACATCAACTCGCTGGGCACAGGCGCTGCTGCTCGGCGGCCTTGCATGGCAGGGGACTCTGAGCTATGACTCGAAGAAAGCCATAACTCTACCGACGACTGCTACCGCAAGTCATCACCCAAGCAGAGTCGTAAATACCACAATAATAACGACCAGAAATACAACAACATATATGCCTAGAGGAACAAACCTCTGCAACCAAGTCACCAGGATGTTTGGCTCATATCCGATATGTTAAAAATCATCCTACGCTTGAGGCTTGCGAGGCCAGTTTAACCTCAAAGACTATGAAAGCAGCAGGCCCACAAGCAAACGAAAACCTCATTTTACGTTGGTTTCTTGACAGCTCTCACGTGTTCTGTCTTTCATAAGCTGATGGTGCTGGGCAAAAGATCGCGGAAAGATCGGGAAGAAGTTGGCCAAACACCCTCACATCATCGCTGTTGGGATACGATCTCTGAACCCGAAGAAGACTTGAAACCGAAACCCCATTTGGGCCCCCAAGCATCCTGACCGAGAGAATCCTCCAAACTCCCCGTGCTCCCTGAGCGAAACGACCCGAGGCTCGCTCCGCCACTCAGTGTGGGACTTCCCACGAGTTGAGGGGGTGTCGACTTCCAAGACCGGACTCGCTACCGGACTCGGACTCCACACCCTTCGATTGGAGGCCTTCATTCAATCGATCACCCAGTCGATCCGGAAGGGTCTGCTCAAACTCGAACCCAAATTGGGATGAAGGAGGACATCTTGATATCTTGGGAGATGTTTGGCATCTCAACCACCTACCGGAGAAAACGGAGCCTCTCTAGCCTCCTGAAAGCGTTGGCTTCAACTCAAAAATCAGAAGGGGTGGGCAGCTGAGGGTCGGGGGTAGCCTCCGTCCAGTCTCAACTAGGAAAGACGTGTTGAGGTCAGCCAAAAATGTATAAACTTCCATAAAGGATCTCTGGAAAATTCAATCTAGGCTGCCGGGGTAGTCACCGGATTCAGCCCCGCCTTGTCACAAAGGCCGAATCGGCCCGGGTGGCCGAAATCATGCCGGGGTTGGAGACTGGTGGTGAGGTGCGGTCATCAAAGAGAGATCGGACATTACATTTATTTACAGTAAATGTCTGTAACAAATATTTCTTATAGATATGTGATATACTGGTGTATGTGTATGTATATGTATATGTGTATATACATCATAGTTTTTTTGCTGAAATAGTCCTATCTCTATATATATATATATATATACACACAAATGTAGGTATATCTATAATCTATATATATATATACTGTATACATGACTGAACAAAGCTTGCAGAGGTAGAATGATGCTCAGGCTTTGAAGAGCCTGTTGGGGGGAGCCATCAATTTGAAGCATAGGGTCATAGGGTCATCAATCATCAATCCCACCGTATCTCTCTGACGGGAGAATCTGCATCCACTTCCCATGCAAGCGAAAGGTGGTGGAAGATGCAAATTCGAACATATGCATGGTTTCTCGCGCGGAAGTGGTCTATCTCGTCATTGGAAATGCTTGGTCGATGGGTCTAGCAGGTGCCCCCCTGACAGGCTGCCAACCATCTGCGGCGACCTCTTTGCCGGCTCTTCGCTTCGGTGTTGGTAGTTGATGCCAAATGACCAAGCTGCTTCTACCGATGCAGAGACTTTGGCAGCCTTGAACCTGGCAGCCAATGGTCTACGCAAGATCCCTTGGAGCCCAAACTCCGACGCACATGCACATCAAGCTACATCCAACCACCGAAAGCTCAACGTCGTTTCTGCCACGGACAACAAAATGGTCAAACGCTTCTTCCCAACATGACATGTTGGGTTCTCGGATTCGCCCAGAGGAAACAAGTCCAACTACATAAAAACTCTCGAAATGCCGGGGCCGCAAACCCTGCAATCTGCAGGCCGAAAGCCTATCATACTGGAACTTTGGCTAAAAGATCCCCCTTACTTAGTCCAGGGGCCTGTGGTTTTGTCATTTTACAAAAAACACTCACTATAAAATGATCTGCATAGGATAAAACACTATAAAATGATAAAGCCAACCTTTTTATAAAATGACTACATGGACATCAGATATCATCAGATCATGAGTGTTCTGTTAAGGCCAATCAGACCACTGTAGTTCGTAGAACCGTTCTATGCAGGAGCCTGGGGGGACTGATTCTATGGATGAATTTTTTACGGGGATCCACAAAGGATTGTCTTTTATAAAATGATCAACTGCCTGTTTGATGTTGGAGGAGTCCTTATTTTATAAATTGGGGTTCTTCAGATGTCTGGATTTGGGGATCAAAACATAGTTGTTTTATATAAATTGACTCTACCAATTCCTGGCCAAGTCTGCCCAACACATATCATGACCCGTCCATTTCATAAATTCATATCATCTACACATTGATTTTTTTTATTAAATAACCACTTCATGTCTGGCACATTCTGAGCCTATGATTTTCCCTTACTGGGCCCATTGCCCATTTATAGAATGGTGGCTGGTTTCCTCATTTTATATCCTCACAGGATGCCATTTCATAAACACACAGAGTATGGGGGATGCTAAAAGGTGAGTATATGTCGCATGTGTTGCCCAGTTGACATGGACCGTCAGTACGCATCAGTACCGGCTCAAGTGTCTTAGCCGTCAATAACATCCCAGCGCTCCAAGCACTATGCAACTTACAAGGTATTGAGGATCTCCTCACATTCCCTGCCCAAATGCCCAACCAAGTGCCCAACTCGCTGCTCCTTTTCTGGCATTGGCATCTGGCTCGGGAGCCTAAGAGAACCCTCCGAACCATCGAGGCCCCGGAGGCGTGGGCGTGTGGCCGGGTGAAAGAACACCTACTGTCCACGGGCAAGACCCTTGGTAAGGATCGGTAAGAGTACACCCTCAGGACGGTGCATTACTTTAGATCCAAATGCTGCAACGGGTGCCCTCTACTGTCCGAGTGAAAGGATCCTAAAGCGATGCAGAAGAATCTGCGACTTGCCCGTGTTTTGAAGCTTCCACCATGATCAGTCAACCACTCCAGTCTCTTCCACCTTCGCCACAGAGGAACACCAAAGCGACCACAATGGGTTTTTGGACACGTCACGCAGCTTTGGCATGAGAGGTCGCAAAGATACACAGGGTGTCCTGCCCTGCAAGTGCCATGAGGAAGCCCACACGGCCACCAAATACATGAACTCTAGGGTTCAAAAAAACTCCGGAGAAAACCTTTTGGGCTGGGTTTAGGGCCTTCTCAGGTGTCTGGAAGCCTGGAGCAAGGGATTGCTTATAGATAAATTTTCAGCCTGTTGAAGGCAACATCCTGTGTCACCAATCTCCCTATTCTACATCTGACTTGCCAGCAGGTGACCACTACGTAACTTGATGTGTCCATTCATTGACAAAATTGTTCTAAGCCAGAAGGCCAGAAGGATCGTAACAGCACGTCATTGACATGGCTGGTGAAGAGAGTCACCATGATCCCAGGCATTCACTCCCAAAAGCATGAGAAGGAGTACTGGAAGTTGTGAAACTTCGAAGACCATCGAAGACCAATCCTTTTTTGCCGACCAGCTAAAACGAACCTGTGCCCGTGGCTGCCCAACAAGCAACATCAGGGACATCTGATCTGGGGACAGGCTACGACTTCCTCAAAACGATGTGGAGACGTTTGCCGCCCTCAGCTAAAGCTCTGCCGGAGGCTGGCTCTCTCCTGGCATGGGCCAACACCCGGAGCTTAAGGATCAACGAGACCCGCACAGGAATCAACTCAAGAACGTGAAAACGCTGGTTTTCTTAGTTTCTTCCAGCACCCAAAAACGACGGGAAATCGCGACCAGGGACCAAAAACCGACCAGGTCCCAAGTTTGGGTTTTCCCATACACCTACCCTTCTTCGATCGTCTGAATTGATCACCCCTCCTCCATTACGGAGCGGTGCATTCGGCTGCTGAGGTCCTGAAGATTCAGTCTGAAACACAGGGATGAATGGCAAGCAATCCCCTGCATTAGAGTGGTAGAATCGCTGCAACTACAAATTACGCTCGCCCAGAAGCACGCTGGACACCTGTCACACCTGCTTCATGACGAATAGCGCCAACTCACCATGGCCCAGCAAAAAGGGGCTGGTTCAAAGAAGAAATGTACTGTAATCGTCACCAGGCCACAAGAAAAGATTGAGAAAACTAGAAACAAGATGGAACCCACGAACCCGAATGCACACACGTGCGCAAAGGAAAACCGCGCCAGTTGTTTCAACTTTTCCCCAACGTACCACCGCATTGAAAACATGAATTCCCAGAGTGCACTTTTGTAAATAACTGGTTCCGCGCATGCAAGCTCATGTTTTACTTCAAGCTGTCCACAGCGTTTGGGTGCATGTCGCTTCCATCTCTGGCGAACTATCGCCACTCGAGACCCCATCTTTGGAACTGGGTCTCCGGAAGCAGGGAGGTAGGTGTTGTTGTAGCTCCGGCACCATACCAAGCCACTCAAGGACTTGCGACGATCCTGAGTGGGTGAACATCCAAGGTGCCTTTCCAACGGACAACTTAGTCAAGTGTGAAGCCAAGGGGCCCCTGTCTTGTAAGATAAGTGGAGAAGCTGCTGCCGCCAAAGCGACCGAACGACAAGCCGGCCGAGAGTCAGTCGATCACTATACGGACACCGTCAAGGTTAAGTTGAAGGAACCTCAGGCAGGGAGCAATCCGAACCAAGGAAGCCAAGAAAAATGAATTGCGCAGAACCATGTAAAGTCACGCTTGTGACAAGGAGTCTGCAGCGTGTCTTGGAAAAGCTGGTAAGGCGCGCAAGCGTGTCAATTGCAAACGCGTTGCACGAACGTGTCCGACAATCCTGCTCCACAAAGGTGTCCCACAAGAGTGTCCTACAAGATTGGCCCAAGAGTGTCCTACAAGTTTTCGCTGCGCAAACGTCCTACAAGAACGTCGCGCAAAAATGGCCTACAAGAGCGTCCTACAATTTTCCGCGACAAGGGGCTCCTGCAAGAGTCCCCTACAAG